AACTTCTATTCAAAGGAGAAGTGTTCCTCCTTACTTGGAGAAATGCTTTGTGGACACATGCTTTTCATGGGACATTTAAAGCCTACAAAGCACAATTCATTATTAATTCAGTGCTGTTCAAAGAAGAAAAACTTGTTAATTGCTCAGTGACATCTCACACTAAATATTAAGCAAGGTACTCTACGGAAATTTTAACTTGCTGTTTATCACTGTTAATAATCTGTTGTCAGTCTAAATTCTATTTTTACTTTGTGGGGTAAGGAACCTTATCTCTTGCATGTTGTTCATGTGCCATATGCTTTTATTTCCAAATATTTGGTTTGGCTCCAATAGATCAAGCAAGTGCATGGCTTTCCTGGACAGAACTGCTTCATGCCATATTTCATAAATAACTGATCTGTCTAGGTGAATCCAGAACCTACTAGATTACTCAACTTCTTAAATTTTTTAACCTCTGAAAAAGGTGTACTTTCTTAGCCTTAAGTTGTATGTATATCCAAGAATTCTTAAACATATTTCTAACACACATGGCACTTTTACACAAATGGGCATGTGAATCTTCATGTGAGAGAACTGGTTACTACTGAAAGTACTGTAGAAATAAATACTTGTGATTAGCTACTGAATCCTTATCACATGGTACACTCTTACAGGTTTAATGGTGAAGAAAAGAATCCTCTAATGTGAACTGAACTGGGGGTAATAGACTAGTGTAACGTGTATAATGCTTAATACAGAGTTAAGGAGTAAATGTACAGTACTTCAGACAGTGTTCCAAGAATGGAAATGGAGCCATATTTGTGGAGCTTTAGGCACTATCCAAGAATCTTAATCATCTGAATCAATTTCTTTAAAACTAACGTGGTGCATAAAGAGGACTTTTTAATATGGTTCATCTAATACAAAATGACTAAGCTAGTATGTGTCATTTTAAGTATTTTGTATTGCAAGCTGAACTAGTTTAGAGTACCTAATCTATCTTTTCCTTCTGTAGTATGGTAGAACTGATTTACTTTATTTTATTTTTAAATCAGAATTTCAAGAAGACTTAAAAGTAGTTCGCTACTAGGCTTGCAATGAGGCCACCATTTCAACTCATTGACTCCTTTTCTCCCCCTTCTTTCCCAGTCACTTCCTGGGTTGCATGATAATAGAGAGTAATATCTCAAAGATAACACAAGCCAAGAAACCTAACTAGCTGCAGTACTCTTGGATGCACAAAGCACACGTGGGGAAAAAAATCTGTTTAGTTAAGGCCAGTGCTATGACAAAAGCTTTTAATCTTCAGCCAGATATATGATTAGTTTTATTCTGCTGTGAGGTGAAAGCTAGTTCTTGAAGTGGCCCATCTGAATAAAAGGTGGTTTGCCTATAGCAAAGTTAGAAATGGTTAGACTAATTATACTTTATAACACTGTTTTCCATTGCTCAAGCAAGTGCAAGGTAATAGTGTCTCCCTTCTGTGTTCCATGTATGCATCTTATTTCTTTTTTTTTTTTTTCTCAGAATCATCCAGCCCTCCAGTCCTAGATTCCCTAGCTCACCTCAACAAAACTCTCTCTTCCCCACCCCCCGCTTCCTTGTCATAAACTAATGCTTGCTGCTTAGTAGTAATTTGTAGATGATAGTACCTATGCTGTCTGCCTGTTGACTTTGTCACTTCAGTACTACCCAGAGTCAGCATCTGCCTCCCTGATCGGAAAACTTGCTTAAAAAAACCAACCCCCTAGAAACACATTAACATTAGCAAAGTCTGGTAATTTTACCAATGTTACTAATATGGGTTAGTTACCTTCTGGTTTTCTCAACCACTCTTGCATTGGGCCAACCTTACTGTAATTTATAGCACTAAAACTGTTTCAGATGCTTGTTGCATCAGTATGCTGCTTATACCAGTACACCTGGTTTAATGTAAGGGTTATGGACTATTTAACCAGATTAGTTTCTGAAAACGAAGAGGGTGTCTGCTAGATTTGCTGTGTGTGTGTGTTTGTTTGTTTTTTTTTTTTTTTTTTTTTTTTTTAATGGCTTTAGTCCTAAGAACCCTGTCACAAACACTTTTCACTTGCAGACAAGGCAGTGTGTCTGAAAGAGGTCATTCACCTACATTGACTAAGGGGGCAGGTTTGGAGAGGAACATGCAGATAGACCACTAACAAAGGCTAACCCCAGTTTTACGTGACCACCTTTCCTATCCAAGTGAACCCTTACTGCAGGGTGAGCAACACTTTTGGGCAGTGTGTCAAAAACACCTGATTTGTAAGATGGTGGGAGAGCTGTGAGGGGCCTGATCCTTGTGGCAGTGCAGTTCCAGCCTCTTCTCCAGTTTCTGCCCTGAGGTGTGTGGGCCAAGTAAAATGCCTCTGCATGCCACATCTGGCACCCATGCCAGGAGTTGCCTACTCCTGCCTTAATGATATACTCCGTTGACCTTGTTACAACTCTAGTTGTATCTACCCAACTTTAACAATGCTGTTATATCAGCAAAGCTTGTCTGCATGCAGTATGCATTTGTGCATTCTGGAAAAACCTGTGCTGCTATGGTGTAGTGATCTAGGCAGGGATAGATTGCCCAAAGGAGTTGTGTAGAGGGTCACTAGCAGCATGTAAGGCAAACTCTGGGAAGACTGACTTGCTGACAACATGGATGTAGTTAAATGTTCTGCCAAAATGGAGTTGAAAGCTGGGTGCAGGCGGATAGTATACCACTCTTAAGTTCTGGCAGCCTTAACTGTATTTAGCCCTTGTCATGCCTATTAATAGAATTACAGGTTTTGCTTTGATGTGAACAGTGTCTAGAATCAACAGTGCCAATAACTTGTTACAGAGGTTGTTCAAATTCTTTTAGATGAGACAATGGTGCTTTTTTTTTTTTCCCTTTTTTTTCTTTAAGGTTTCTTCATCTTTATAGTTTCAAATATGCCTTGTTTGCTCCAAGGTTGCTGGGGGCAGGGAAGTGAGCCACCAAAAAAACAGACATCTAGTTCCCTCTCGGGCAGTTCTTGGCTGATACTAGGAACATGTCTTTTTATTCAGCCCACAAAATACAATCTCCCTTTCCTTTCACGTGTGAAATTGCAATGTTAGCATTTGTTTCCTTTGCTGTACTTGGAAGCATTAAAATTAATATGCCATAAAAATGACTGAAAGTCATACTTGTCTTTAGTCTGCATAGCCAGGGTAACTGCAGTGAGTTTCTTGATGCACAAGGGGTATTGGATTTATTATCTCTAATTTCAGTCTGTAAACTACAAAAGAAAAATCATCTTTGTTACATAACTATATAGTTTACTGCTGCAGGAGATTGAACTGGAAGAAGCTTTTGCCCATAGTATTTAAAAGAAGAAGAAATTTTTTTTTTTTTCCCCATACCCCCAAGTTTTTGGACAACTAATGCCTTAGGGGTAAAAATGGATGTTGCTGAATGATGCTGATCAGCTGTGGTTGGATGCATTTCATCACAGCTGATCCACTTAAGCAAAACATGTTGCCCCTTATCCTGCATTGGGCAGAAGCCTGATGTGGGTTAACAGGTGATGTTCCCCTCGTTTGGGGATCCCCTGAATCCCTTGCTGCCCTGTGCTTCCTTGCTTGACCTACTTCAGGTTCTGCAGAGGGATGGGGCAGTGTGGAACCCAGGAAATCCTCAGTGCCCCTTGCCAGGACCCATGCAGATTTGTGCTTCTATGAAGCATGGGTCAACACTGGTCCCAGCGACGAGGTGTGGGGTGGCATGTGCCTGGACACTGGGTCCTGTGCTTCACATAAGACACTCACCGACCCATGCCTTTGGCATGGAGGTAGAGGTGCTGGGGACTTCTCAGGTCCAGTGCTGCCCTGTGCCTTCTTGCTGGCATGCATGTCAACCCATGCTTCTGCATGAAGTACAGGACTTGGCATGGAGGCACAAGGCCTCACAGGTCCTGTCATGGGGTTCTGTGGATTCCTTGGGTCACATTCTTCTATGCCATGACTTATGTGGGCTTTCCCCACTTGTGGAGATTGTGCCCCTAGAGATTCTGGGGTAGGTCTCCATAAGTGGAGAACCCTGACTTTCCCAGTTAGAGGTACTCCAAGATTCAGGAAAGTTGGGCAGGTGCTCCCAGGGCTTGAGGTTCCTGATGCTGGCGCACCCTGGGAATTCCTGTGCAGGATCAGGCACCTCAAACTTTGGGAGCACCTTCTCGGTTTAGTTGGAGAATTCAGACAGCCAAGAGCTGCCCACTCTCTTGCCACAGAGCAAATACACATCCCTGGCAATAAAGCGGCAATATTTTGCACTACCTTTTTGTTGCAGCCACCACAGATATGCTGCAGCAAAGGGCATGGATGTCTATTTGCTTGCCACAAATGCAGCATCAGGTGACATTTTGTTTCTACCCAAATTTTAAAAAGGAGGAGACGTGTGAAGTTATCCATTGCAAACCTTTGGTGTGTTCCACCCTGCAGTAAGGGAAAACTGAACAATAGTTATTTAACCACTGTTTCATTCAGGAGTTAAACTGCTCTAGTTTAACTTTCTCTGTCTGTGAGATTGGTGCAAGTTATTGCATGTTGGATGATGCAGTCTCCTTCTTCAACTCAGTATAATTGATTCACTTATTCAAGCCTTGGGGCAATAAAAGACAGGTTTCACTTGTTTAAGTTAACTGGTGGTCAGCAGGCCGACTGATACCCTTAAACACTGGCACTCTTGAGATGCCTGAACAACTGAACCAGAACATGAAAGCTAGCTTCCTGGTAAACTCTGTTGCATGGCAAAACTGAGGGATTATTTTTATTTATTTATTTATTTATTTTTTTACCTGCTCAGTTGGCAGCTACTGCCAAATTCCTCTTCTTTGCAGTGTGGGGTAGAAGCAGCTGATAGTTTTCTTCTTGATAACAACTGGGTTTTAGTGCTGAGAAGTAACAAAACTCTTTGCTACTATTTAGTTGGTCTAATAAAAGATATTGCCTCTAACCCAAGAGTTTTGTTTGTCTATATTTCTTAGACCAACATGGCTACAACATATATCCTGGAGATCAAAGTAAGCTTTCATTTACAGCCTATGTTTGGACAGTTGCTCATTTTTAAGTTGTCATGGCAATGACTTGCCCTTGAAGCATAAAATGCATCCATGCCAGTTGCAACTTAAGGCAACTTTTTTTTTTCCTAGAAAAAATATCAGAATGATCAATTGTGCTTGTCAAAGGACACCTTGAATTTTGGACAGCGAATGTATTTAAACAACAACTAACACATTTGAATAACATCCTTGTCTAATAGTGTGAATGAATTCATAATTCAAGCCAATAGGAAGCTGGTTGCCCAATGGGCAGACAGGTTCTCTAAGCCAGTTGTTCTCAGCCTTTGATACCTTATGTAATCAACACGGCAAAAGTGAAACTGGAAGTCCCATCATGGCACTTCTGGTTTCACCACTGTGAGCCAAGTCCCATTTTTTTTTCCTCATGGACCATGGCCTGAGGCAAAGCACCCCTCCCTCCGTATCCCCCGGCACGCCTGATGCTGGGGAGTGAAAGCCCCAGTGCATAGGACGCGGCAGAAAGTGCTGCGGCTGGAACTTCCAGCCCGACCAGGCAAAGATGCCTCCAACCCAGTGGCTGGGGAGGCAGGCCAAACTCAAAACGCAGCACCCATGTACTCCCTGCCCATGTCTTTCATACCTCCAGGGTATGCGCACCAAGGGCTGAGAAACACTGCTCTAAGCCTTCAGAGTGCATTTAAGTATCTAGTGTTTTTATGAAACGTGGCTAGTCTTGGTGGTAGGAAACCTGACATCTTAAAAGATAGATGAGAGGTCTTGTTGGCAAAGGTGGAGGTGAGGGAAAACTTAATGTAGATTCTGCTTCCTCTCCTCCCCTCTTCAGTTTTTTGCATACTGTATCTCTTTAAAGCCTGCAAGAATACTTCAAAAGAGTGTCATGAGGAACTTAAATGTCCAGATTTTAAGGTTGGGGGTTTTTTGTTTTTTTGGTTTTTTTTTTTTATGATGCTGCTTTGTGCATAGGTCCTATTGCACTCTTTTTAATGTGCTAGGAAATATTTTTCTAGGTAGGTAGAAACATGTTCTTATTTCATGTTGCTGTTTCTTTCCTTGTCGTCGTCGTCGTCGTCGCTGTGCCCCCCCCCAAACTTCCTTTCAGCAATGAAAGACCACAACTATCTGACCCTGAATTTGTCTCTAAAGCAGGAAGCAAAACTTTACAGGGTTTGTGTCAAACTTCATAATGCTCCTTCCTGCCTTTCCCAATGCATCAGCAGAAGCCATTGGCAAGTATATGGAAGAAGATTTGAACTTATGGGGGGGCTGGTACTTCCTTTTGGCTACAATAATGAATTGGTAGCAAAAATTCTTTCCGCAGTCTTTCTCCCTGCCTGCCCACCCCACCCCTCAAAAACCAAAAAAATGCAGCAAAACACAGCAGCTTTCCAATATTTTCATTTAGTGGGATGGAGGGGTGAGGAACCTTCTTCCTCCTGGTTTCTTTTTTTTTTTTCATGCATACTATTCAACATGCAAAAGTAATTTTTAAGGCTCTCCAAGACTAGAAAGACCCATTGTCTGATCAGCTGTGACACTTCCTAGGTTTCTAGGTCACCAAAATATCTCCTCCCTATTTCCTTGTGGAATTACAGCTTTTCCTACAGCTTCTGAGCTTTTATTAAGGTTTTTTTATATGACAGGTCTAGAATTAATGCATTTGAAAGTCCTATAATATGAAAAGTATGGAGTGGATTTAATGGATAACCATCTTCTCTCTTCCCCCACACCTCTCCCCACCCCCCCCCCCCCCCCCCCCAACTCTGGAATATCCAAACAAGGCTTTAGAATTTTAACTCATCAGTCCTATTTATAGCAGAAATATTCAAAACAGTTAATTATTTCTAGCCCTAAAATGGGCTACTTGGCAGAACTTGCTAGTCAGCAATAGGAAGGCAGTAATGCATACAAACCTGCAGTAGTGCCATAACACTTGTGTAGATCTTCCTGCAACTTTATCATGCAGAATGACAACTGAAAAGGAGAAATATCAGCTTTGAGATGAAAAGCGGAGTGAAGCAAGGATTCATTCTTGCCCCTACACTCTTTGCAATCTCCTTCGCAGTACTCCTGAACTGCGCATTTACAGATATGGAAGGTGGAGTGTACCTTCACACAAGATTGAATGGGAAACTTCAACCTGTCATGACTCGAGGCAATGACAAAGTTAGAAAGTTGCTTATCTGGGTGCTTCTATTAGCTGATGATGCTGCCCTTACAGCCCATGATGAAGACCAGCTACAAGAACTCATGGATCACCTTTCAAGAGCTTGTCGGGCATCTTGCTCTCGCTATTGGCATAAAGAAAACAGTTGATCTAGGACAGGGAGTTCCACAAGATCTGTCAATCATACTTAATGAGAACCAGCTAGTAGTCTAAAAGTTCAGTTACCTAGGTTCTACAGTGACCACCAACCTCTTGCTGGATGAAGAACTCAATGTTTGCATTGAGAAGGCTGCCACCACCTTCAACAGACTAACTAAAAGAGCTTAGAACAACTCAAAGCTTGCCATCAAGATCAAAATGCTAGTGTACAAAGCTTGTATACTCAGCACTCATGCCTGGTGGGGGAAATATGGACAACTTTATGCACATCAAGAGGAAAGGTTAAACAGCTTCCATCTGCAGGGGTTATACTCGACATCAAATGGCAAGATAAAGTCATCAACACAGGTTCTTCAAAGGGCAGATTTACCAAGTGTGACAGCCTTACTCAAACAGATGACTGCGCTGCCTAGGCCATCTGAGCAGATTGTAAGATGACGTATACCTAAGGACATGCTATACGGGGAACTATCTGAAGGAACAAGAACAACAGGATACACCCCTAGCTTCGCTATAAAGACGCACACAAGCAAGATACAAAAGCATGTGGAATTGATCATTGGCAAGTAACTGGAGCAAGTGGCGTCATCTCCACCAGGGCATTAAAGTGCATGAGAGGAATTGGCTCTAACAGCTTGAAGAGAAAAGAGTCCGTAGGAAGACGGTAGCTCCCAAACCACCCAACTGTGACGCACACATTTTGCAATCACTGCCACAGATCATGCAAATCTTGGATTGGAGTATTCAGTCATATGAGATGTTCCAAACCATGTATGCCATAGGCTGTAATATCTACCGTCTCTTGCAGACTAAAGGATGCCAATAACAATAAGTAGCAGTGGACTAAACCATATGTGAGGTTCCAAATCTACTTATTAACAAAAATGAAGTAAATTCAATCTGCAGTAAGTCCATTAAGGGACCTTATGATTTCTTTGTACACTTCTTTTTTTTCTCTCTCTTTTGGTTGGATTCATTCTTGCCCCTACACTCTTTGCAATCTCCTTCGCAGTACTCCTGAACTGCGCATTTACAGATATGGAAGGTGGAGTGTACCTTCACACAAGATTGAATGGGAAACTTCAACCTGTCATGACTCGAGGCAATGACAAAGTTAGAAAGTTGCTTATCTGGGTGCTTCTATTAGCTGATGATGCTGCCCTTACAGCCCATGATGAAGACCAGCTACAAGAACTCATGGATCACCTTTCAAGAGCTTGTCGGGCATCTTGCTCTCGCTATTGGCATAAAGAAAACAGTTGATCTAGGACAGGGAGTTCCACAAGATCTGTCAATCATACTTAATGAGAACCAGCTAGTAGTCTAAAAGTTCAGTTACCTAGGTTCTACAGTGACCACCAACCTCTTGCTGGATGAAGAACTCAATGTTTGCATTGAGAAGGCTGCCACCACCTTCAACAGACTAACTAAAAGAGCTTAGAACAACTCAAAGCTTGCCATCAAGATCAAAATGCTAGTGTACAAAGCTTGTATACTCAGCACTCATGCCTGGTGGGGGAAATATGGACAACTTTATGCACATCAAGAGGAAAGGTTAAACAGCTTCCATCTGCAGGGGTTATACTCGACATCAAATGGCAAGATAAAGTCATCAACACAGGTTCTTCAAAGGGCAGATTTACCAAGTGTGACAGCCTTACTCAAACAGATGACTGCGCTGCCTAGGCCATCTGAGCAGATTGTAAGATGACGTATACCTAAGGACATGCTATACGGGGAACTATCTGAAGGAACAAGAACAACAGGATACACCCCTAGCTTCGCTATAAAGACGCACACAAGCAAGATACAAAAGCATGTGGAATTGATCATTGGCAAGTAACTGGAGCAAGTGGCGTCATCTCCACCAGGGCATTAAAGTGCATGAGAGGAATTGGCTCTAACAGCTTGAAGAGAAAAGAGTCCGTAGGAAGACGGTAGCTCCCAAACCACCCAACTGTGACGCACACATTTTGCAATCACTGCCACAGATCATGCAAATCTTGGATTGGAGTATTCAGTCATATGAGATGTTCCAAACCATGTATGCCATAGGCTGTAATATCTACCGTCTCTTGCAGACTAAAGGATGCCAATAACAATAAGTAGCAGTGGACTAAACCATATGTGAGGTTCCAAATCTACTTATTAACAAAAATGAAGTAAATTCAATCTGCAGTAAGTCCATTAAGGGACCTTATGATTTCTTTGTACACTTCTTTTTTTTCTCTCTCTTTTGGTTTTTTCCCTTCTGTTGCCCCAAAAAACATTAGCTATGTAGGCCTCTTCCCTAGACAGAAGGAGAACCCTTTTAAGTAGAGAAGCTGTGAAAGGAGCTATCAGTTTGTTCTGTTTATGCTCCTGCACACTACTTTCCCCACAATGAGTGCCTTGGGATTGTAGTACAGACTTCCCATCCAAAAGCTCAGATAATAAATTTTAGGCTCTTTACACCGTCACTTCAATATGAACACCACCATATCTAAAAACTAGTCTGAAATTGTGGAATTTGGTGTAATTTCAAGTGAAGCCAGAGATGAGATTACTTTTGACAATAAGATTATGAAAGCAGACTTCCTTTCCCTCTTCCAGTTGACTGGATGACCTTGTGAGGTCCCTTCAAGCCCTACTTTCCTACGATCCTTTAATAGTATAATTGACTTTGGTCATCAATAGTAGGTTGTGTACATCTGATGCGCGGCAGAGCTTCTCTGCATGTAAGCTCTTAACCATGAATCAGTAAAGCAGTTTTTTTGGTTTGGTTTGCAGTGCCATGTTCACAAAGGTATGGTTCTCTTTAAAATGAAACCGTATTTACCTCTGCTGTTTCAAATGTTTACCTCCTTTCCTTTCAGGTTTTTGAAGTCATAAATCTCATCCTCTTCCCCCCCCAAATTTCTCAGCTCTTGAATCATAGAAAATTAGGGTTGCCAGGAACCTCAGGAGGTCATCTAGTCCAACCCCCTGATCAAAGCAGGATCATCCCAGCCAAAGCTTTGTCTAGCCGTGGTTTGAAAACTCCCAAGGATGGAGCTTCCACCATCTCTCTGGGTAACCTGCTCCAGTGTTTTACTACCCTCCTAGTGAGAATTCTTCCTAATATCTAACCTAAACTTCCCTTGCTGCAACTTGAGACTGTTGCTCCTTGTTCTGTTATCTGCCACCACTGAGAACAGGCTAGCTCCATCTTCTTCCGAACCACCCTTCAGGTAGTAGAAGCCTGCTATTAAATCCTCCTTCTGTCTTCTCTTCTCTAGACTAAATAAGCCCAGTTCCCTCAGCCTCTCCTTGTAAATCATGACCCCCACTCCCCTAACCATTTAGGTTGGCCCCTGCTGGACTCTCCAATTTGTCCATATCCCTTCTGTATTGTGTGACCCTGAATGAACCAGTCCAGATGAAGAAAATATATTTTTTCCACAATTGTAGAAGAGGCTAGTGCTGGTAAAAGCTGGTCTAGTTTTGCTAGTGACTTCCAGTTCAGTGGTGTGATTTCTTTAAAACATCCTCAGCAAGCATATACTACTTATTATGGTTGGCATGATTAATGGGTGATTAGCAGATGCTCATATCATAACTGCCAGAGATGAAAATGGTGCTAAGCATCTGCCCTGGTACTTTGTATTAAGAACATTGGTAAGAAAATTAGGTGGATGGATCCAACATTTTACTACTGCCTGCAATTTAACATTAAAGCAAAAAAGAAAAATCAATGTTTCTTGAAGTCCTTTCCAAACTTGAGCAGAATCTACAATACAGCAGCAATCTTTCTGTAGTTTGTCCAAGGCTATGGAAATGGCATATGTATTGGGCATATCTTCTACATTTAGTCTAAAGAGAAGTTAGTCCCAAATAGGGTCTCTTTTTTGCGACCTGCAGCCATAGCAGTCTTTTTCCTCCAGTTTCCAGGCCTTGAAATGAGAGTAGTGTACATTATACAGAATGTTCTTTTCCTGCGCTGTCTTAAGCCTGGTATTACTTCCTTTCTGTTGCTTGCAGTGCTCCTTACTGTTCCCTCTCCTTCTTCCACACCAAACCTAACAACAAACCTAAGGCTCCCCCCTGTGAAAACCCGCTGCACACCCTGCCCCCCCTTCCCCCAACCAATCCATGATTTCTCCTATTGTAACCCCCTGGCCTTGTGTGCTGCAGTATTTTAGTTGAGAGAGAGAGATCAGCATTTCTCAATCCATGGGTCCCAACCCAAAAGTGGGTCACAAGAAGATTTTTAAAGGGTTACTGGGAGGTCTGAGGGAAATGCTACAAGGCTGCATGGAGATGCACACAGCGTGGGGGTGTGGCAAGCATGCAGCAAGGCAGAGGGAGGGGCCCAGATGCAGTGGGGTGGGGAGAAACACTCTGTGGGTCACAGCAAGATGATAGTTATGCTAATGTGTCCCAGATGAAAGGTTGAGAATCACTGATATAGATGGAGCCCTTGAGAGATTTTCATGCTTTACATTTTTGTATGTAGGCAAAGGGACCAAGAAGGGCCGTTTAACTGAAGTACCCAGAACCATTCAGAAGCAGGGGGTTGGTAATTACTGAGCTTGTTCTAGTTCATGGGAAAACAACCTTCCACTTGGGTACAGAATCATAACTATTCATAACTTGAGTTGAGCTGATCAGAGTTCAGGTAGAGAGAATAAAACAGGAATTTGATATCAACCAAGTGGGCTCAGTATCTAATCCTGATCAAGGAGAGCACGCAATGCTATCTACTGGAGTCGGAGGCCAGGTTCCAATACCTGTGATGACTTTGCTGATCCTTTGTATCCAGTGGCATAGTGCAAGGAATGCAGGGGTCTATCAAGCCTTGTATTCTTATAGAAGAAAATTGACCTGTAACTCCAGAGTTTTTATAATTGGGGACCTACTAAATTCACGGTTGCACACAATGTGCAATTGGGTAGGCTTTGCTTAAAAACCAACAAAAAAACCCACTTATTGGCAAGCAGGGCTTCCCACCCTTTTCTCTGCAGTCCTGGAGCATGGGGTAGAGGTGGAAGGGGGCTGCATGTAGCTGGAGGCAGGGAGGCTGCAGGCAGCTTGCACCAAGGTCTGCAGAGCTCTGGCCTGGCTCATTGCACCTGTTCACCTGCCACCAGCAAGGAGCCAGGCTGGGGCTCCACTGACCCCGGTGCAGCCTCCTAGGTTCCTGCCACAGCCAGCCTGGGACCCTGGTGCAGCTGCCCCACTTGGGAAGCCATTAATCCACATTTAATGCATGGATTATTGGCATCCCCTGTCTCAATGAGAGCAACTAAACTGTAGTTTTGGGCCATCTGGCAATCTATGGAGAAGGATGGGATTGCCCTGCTGGTAGGCACCTCAACCAACCAGAGGTGTGGTGGTGGTGAGGTGAGGGGGCCCTGCTATACTTGGCCTGCAAAAATGGGGGCCAGCCCTGGGATCTGCCCACAGAATTGACCAGCTGCCTCCTTGAGTTCAGTAGACCCCTAGTTATAATAGAGGCTTCCTGACTTGACATACTTACTTACTAAATATAATTATTAAAATAAATTCATACTTCAGTTGATTCTGTATGAAATTCATATTTCATTTTAAGCTGTCTTATTTTTTTTTTTAAAAAGCAAAACTTTTTAATGATATTAAATCTGGTTTTTGTTTTGTTTTTTAATCATGCATGTACATTAAATAATTGCCAGAGCAATCCCATGGCTGTTGCCATGTGTAAATTGACTCCTGTCAGTAGCACCAGATCCATATAGGTGCTTACATTTTTGTTGGATTTTTTAAAAAAAATGTTATTTATTAACAAATCCAACTTCGGTAGTGACAAATTTTTACAGTGCATTCAGTCCCTTTAAAAATTAATTTAATTTCAAATTCGTTCATAACTGCTAGTTCCTGGAACTCAAACTTTCCTTCAGTGTTCAAAAAGCTTCTCAAACTTTCTGGCTTGCAGGCAGAAAATTCTTTTTCAGTAAATTCCAAGAATTTACACCATACTTCTAAGTAAGCATTTGCCCCTGTGACATTGACTTGATGGGATGATTTTTCCATCACTGAAAGCTCTCAAACTTTTTGACACCAGACCATGATCTCTTAAGGATGGTGTCTCTCTTCAAAAGGAGGCTTTTGCAGTTGTAATTTTTGCTGCTCCTAGAAGATTAGTGATCATTGTCTTAAGACTTTCGTTGCAGAGTTTTTTCAGGAAGGTTAAATAAGGCTGCTACGTGGTTTGCTGGTAACTGTCAGCCTCTTACTTCCCCTTCACTGTCTCCAAACTTTTTTTCAGAACTGTTTGTGTTTTTCAGAACACAAGATGTTTACTGTGGAGCAGACTAACTAGCTCTGCAATAAAGGTCTCATATCTACACCTGTGGCCCTATTAGGTCACAAGAAACTAACTCCACAGCAAGGTAGTACTTGTATAAAAGTACTATCCTGCTGCAGAGCTTAACTTCGCAGCACTGCACATGTAAATGCTAATGTGGCTGGCTGAGGCAGTGGGGCTGCCTGCTGGCTAGCCCTGCACTGGAGCACCCTTATGCCCTAGCCAGCCCCTCCAAAACATGTTGAGCTGGGTTGGAGCAGTCCCAGGTTGGCAGGCTGACTTCCCAAGCCCCCTGCCAGCTGGGGCTGCTCCAACCTGGTTCAATGTGCTGTGGTTCCAGACGCGTGTGTAAATATGGCACCTGAGAGCAATAAACTCTAGTGCAATAAGTGCTGGAGTTTGCTTTGCCTGAATAGTACTTGTAGACATGCCCCATGTGTAGTAGAATCCTTCCAATTGACTGCATTCCCTTCATCATTCACCTGTTCCTGTACCATAAATATGCTTAACTGTAAGTGGGGTGAGATGGTGTTAACACAGGATTTTAAATTTTTTCTTTTATTATCATGCAGATAGATGGACTATTGTCCCATATAGGGTACATCTATACATGCACTTTACTGCAGAGTAGACTAACTGGCTCCACAGTAAAGCATCACAGTCTATACATGTGCCGGTATTAGGGTGCAGTAAACTAATTTTAGGTCTGTCATAGGATAGTACTATCCCCAACACTACTAGGGTGCAATAATTTACTTCACCAAAATGCACATGTAGTTACTGACCATGGGTGTACACTGCTGTGCCCCAGGTAAAATTTAGATGTTGCACCTGGGAGCAGTTGACTCCAGCTCAAACTGCCCCAGAATTTATTGTGTTGTATTAATTGCACCCATAGACTTCCATTCTTCAGCATTAATTTGTGATCCAATTTCAATAGCCTGACTTAATCTGTTACATTTCAGTTCCATTAAAATGCAGTGGGAGTTTAGGCATCTTAACACCTCTTTTTGGATTTGACCCATAATAAATGATTAGTATAAGATTACTTATGAAAGGAAGGGTGTACTGTGCTCCTCCAGGCATGAATTTGAAACCTGCTTTTCTGACTGGATCAAGTTTTCCTTTGTGGCTGTGAAAGGGTATGATTCATCATGATTATAATCCTTCCTATAGTATGTTGAGAGTTTTCCCAATATCTTATTAGATGCGCTGAAAAGGACAATTTTGATTCGCCTCCTAGTATTCTGCCAGTAAATGAAATTGAAAATAGGAATTAAACAGGGGAGTAGAGTGACTGTACTTGGGAGCTGGAGGATCTGTTTACCTGAAGGGGTTGTAGAGGAGGTATCTACTAATGATCTTGTGCACTTCAAAGAAATGTTACTGTCCCCTGGCTGGTGCTTGGAAGTACCTGCTCCTTTTGAAACAAGTTATCCCAGACAGGTGTGAATTCTTGACTTAATTTTTTTTCTTTTCCTTGTTTGGGAAGCTTCTCTCAAGGTTTTAACTGCTGTTAGAGCCATCTAGGTACAGCCTTTTATTGTATGACAAAGAAGTGTTGCCACCATAAGTTATGAAGCCTACTGGGATGCTGAAGACTATCAAAAGAGAAAAGACTTAATAATACCTTGCACTTGCAGCAAACCTTTTTAATTACTGCTGTTGGAATAATAGATGCAGGCAAGAGATGCCTCCTACTGAGTCTCAGTTGCTCCAGTGATGTTGACTTAAATGATCAAGTTACAAGCCTAATGATTCCAAATAATGAACAAGCTAAATTTTTATGGCATCTGTTGAACCTTTTGCACAGATGGGATGTTTTGTACAAGAATCTGACTGTCCACAGGAGTATAGATATTTTATAGGTTGTGTTAAAGCCTCTCCTCCTTAGCTGGGACTAGATTAGAGAAGGGAATCTAGTAGCTTGAATGTAAAATGGTAATTAAATAAGTATCCATAGTCCAAGAGTCAAGAACCTAAGGGCTCTTTGGCAGGGGGGGGGGGGGGGGGGGGGGGCCCCCCCCCCCCCCCCCCCCCAACAAAAAAAAAAAAAAGTTTGACCTCTAAAGGACATGGTGTAATATTTTTTCAACCTTACTGTCTCCTTTTAGGTACTTAATTATATAAATTCATAGACATTAGGGCTTGAAGGGACCTCATAAGATCGTTGAGTCTAACCCCCTGCGCAAGGGGCAGGAAGTCAGCTAGGGTCAAAAGATCCCAGCAAGGTAAACATACAAATGTGTTTTGTTTTTTGTTTGTTTTGGGTTTTTTGTTTTTGTTTTGGTTTTTTAAAGTGTCCAGAGTAGGTGCTTGCACCACCTCTGGGGGGGGAAACTTATTCCAGGCCTTGGGGGCTTAGACAGTAAAGAAGTGTTTTCCTTATGTCCAGCCTAAAATGGTCTTAGTTTGTGACTGTTGGACCTTGTCATCCCCTGGGGTGCTCTGGTGAACAGGTGTTCCCCCAGATCCTGATGCACACCCCTTATGTACTTATAGGGGTGACTTGATGGCAGCCTATAAGTATGTAAATTATGCTATACAAGTGAATACAGGAAACACTCGCCATTCACGGTTTCGAATATTTGCAGTGAGAATATTCAAACCCACGCTCTCTCATAGCTTTCATTAATTAACTGACTTGCTGCCATGGTAAGTGAAGGAGCGCAGCGGCATTTAGTGCTTGTTGTGGATCATGAACTCCTCCGAGCTTGCAGATCAATCGATCTGCCACCACTTTCCCTGGGAAGGTTGTGTCTTTTTTTTCTCCTCTCAAGATTAGTCTTCAGCGAGTCCACCCAGCCTGCTCCTCTTCACTCTCTTCCCTCCTCTGCCACTGACGGTGTTTGCGGCAGGTGCTTGCTGCCAGTGGGCTCCGATGTATTTGCAGATTTCACCATTCGCGGGGATCTCTGGAACAGATCCTGTACATCTTTGTGCTTGGGGTACCTAAGCTTCTAGAAAAAAATTTAAAATGGGAAACTAATGAGTGCCCAGACGCTACAAGGAATCGCCCAGTGCAAAGTAACTTAAGAGCTGAGGCTTTTTGCCTACCCAAATAATACTAGAATTCTGTGTCTGCCAGTTACTTTTGTTGGTTGGTCCTTAATTTAAATGATCTGGAAGCAGAAACTTCATGCAGATTAGAATAGAATATGCTTGTATTCTTGGAGCTGGCTAACAAGACAGCTTCTAAAAGGAATCCAGGGCTGCTACCATACAACTTTGAATTTTTAGGGTTAGTGGTAAAGTCTTGTACCCAGAAGGCAAACGAAATTCATCTGATGCCAAAGCCTTCTTACTTGGAACAGGGTTCAGGGTGTTAAGTTGGGCAGACCATTGATTTTTCAAAGTTAATGGATGTTAGCAAGCATTTGGCAATAAATGGATCAAATAGTAGCAAAAGTGTGCCTGTTTCTGAAAGGGTACCATTAGTTTATATAAACATCACTGTATCCTGTAAATTCATGATGCATTGCAAATGGGTGTTGGAAAATGTTGTCTCCTTATCTTGACCGAAATGACCAGATTGGCAGTCCAAGGGTAAGATTCCTTTAGTTCAGCATTTTGTAATAACCACAAATGCAGTACAGTTGGAATAGAGCCCAGTCACGGAAGCTCTTCATGCAGGACATGAGGGTTTGTTGGATTATGGTCGTGTACAGATATGTGTATTAAAAGATCACCCTCAACTCCAGAAGATCTACAGGAGCTTGGTATCCTATTATCCCAATTTTATTTGGGCCTTCTGGCCACATAAGCTGTTTTGGGGAGCTATCATGGGCTGGTGAACAGCCCAGAGCTCACACACCATGTTGCTTCTCCTACCCTGCACCTGCTCTAGACCGGCATGCCCACAATGAGCAGTGGTGGCAACCAGGCAGAAGCTGCTGCTGGGCACAAGAGAAAAGTGACTGCCTCCCACTTGCCATTTCCGGGCCTTCCTTGGTACGGCTGCCTGGAGCCTGTGCCTGGGCTGCCCTTCAGCTTCTCTCTACCTGAGGCAACGGTGGTGATGGCAATGGAGATGAGCCATAGGGCAGCTTGGGTGCGGGCTGTAGGCGGCTGCAACAAGAAGGGCCTGGCAGCAATGAGTTAAAAGCAGTTGCTTTTCCCCTGCACCCAGCAGCAACTTCTGCCTGGCTGCTGCTGCCACCAGACATTGTGGGTGGGCAGGTCAGAAGTGGGCATGGGCCAGGCTGAGGCTAGTGTTCTGTGTGCTGGTCTGTTCCAGTTGGGGCAGGTCCAGGGCAGGCCATGCCAGGGCTGTGTAGGCAGGTCCCTGCCAGTCCCCATGGGGTCAGAGTACAGTTGCAGAGTTGCCCTAGCCCTGCTGCGCACCCAGGTGGCAAGATGCACCATGGGCTAGATGGTGCCAGGGCCAGGCAGGACAGAGGGACCCTCCATGGGTCATACAAAGCCCCTCCACAGACTGGATCCAGCTCGTGAGCCATATCTTGCCCACCCCCAATCTAACAGATTATACCTTCATTAGAAAGACTTCTGGTGTGGTATTTGAGCTGTGTCTCATAATGCATTTGGACTGGAGAAGGAGATGCCAACTAGTATGAACCATCACATGATTTCTGGAAGATGTCCCCTAAATGAAGCTGCCTGTCCTTTGAAGAGTTTAACCAAGGGTGCAGAGAGCATTCAGACTGACCCCCCTCAACAGGGCATATTGGGAGAGGTGTTAAAAAGATCTGAACTATACAATCAATTGGCTCCCAATCCACTTTGGCCAGGTTCTGGGTCATTTTTCAAGGCAGGCTAGACACATCTAGGGTCTGCCTTCACACCTGCTGTGCAGTGATGTATAAATATATACCTGACCTAGTTCTAGTACTGGTAGCAGTCTAGCCACATAGAACTGCAAGGAGCCTCCTAGACCATTGAGTCCATTTCCCTGCGTTTCCAGATGCTTGTGATCTGAAGGAATTCCCCATATCACTACTTCAGTGCCTTGCCTACGGCTGCAAGGAGCACCCATCTCATTAGCATGGACTTAGTGGGTATAGTATCATGTTGTGGTTACCCAAGTATATGGGTGGATATAATCTTAGAGTATGCATTAGAAGCTTCATGGCTGTTGTCACCAGGATGGCCAAGGCTTTGATAATGGGTTCAAGATTTGTAGGTCTTAGGTGCTGCTCTTCAAGAGGTGCTAAATAAAACTTGCTGTTGGCTGTTACTCAGAGGACACCATCTACATGAGACACTTTACTGTACAGTAGACTAATTAGCTGCACAGTGAACGTCTTGCATCTACATGTGCATGGCTGTTAGAATCATAAAATAGGACTGGAAGAGACTGGTAAGGTTGTCAAGTCTGATCCCCTGCTGTGGGCAGGAGGTAGTTGGGCTCAAACGAGCTCAGCAAGGTGTTTGTCCCGCATCTTCTTGAACACCTCCAGGGATGGCAACTGCACCACCTCTGCTGGGAGTGTTCCAGATTCTAGATACCCTTACAGAAAAGAAGTTTGTCTTTGTCCAGCCTAAATTTTTCCTCAACTAGCTTGTGTACCTCTTGGGAGGACAAGTTCCAATGGGCCTTTCTGAAAAGTTGTACCCCCTAGATTCATAGATGTTAGGGTCGGAAGGGAGCTCAATAGATCATGGAGTCCGACCCCCTGCATAGGCAGCAAAGAGTGCTGGGTCTAGATGCCCCCAGCTAGATGCTTATCTAACCTCCTCTTGAAGACCCCCAGGGTAGGGGCGAGCACCACCTCCCTTGGGAGCCCATTCTAGACCTTGGCCACTCTAACTGTGAAGAAGTTCTTCCTAATGTCCAGTCTAAAGCTGCTCTCTGCTAGCTTGTGGCCATTATTTCTGGTAACCCCCGGGGGCGCCTTAGTGAATAAATACTCACCAATTCCCTTCTGTGCCCCTGTGATGAACTTATAGGCAGCCACAAGGTCGCCTCTCAACCTTCTCTTGCGGAGGCTGAATAGATCCAGTTTCTCTAGTCTCTCCTCGTAGGGCTTGGTCTGCAGGCCCTTAACCATACGAGTGGCCCTTCTCTGGACCCTCTCCAGGTTATCCGCATCCCTCTTGAATTGCAGCGCCCAGAATTGCACGCAGTACTCCAACTGCGGTCTGACCAGCGCCCGATAGAGGGGAAGTATCACCTCCTTGGACCTATTTGTCATGCATCTGCTGATGCACGATAAAGTGCCGTTAGCTTTGCTGATGGCTTCGTCACACTGCCGACTCATGTTCATCTTGGAGTCCACTAGGACTCCAAGATCCCTTTCCTCTTCCGTGCCACCCAGCAGGTCATTCCCTAGGCTGTAGGTGTGCTGGACATCTCTCCTCCCTAGGTGCAACGCTTTGCATTTCTCCTTGTTGAACTGCATTCTGTTGTTTTCTGCCCACTTGTCCAACCTGTCCAGATCTGCTTGTAGTTGTTCCCTGCCCTCCGTCGTGTCCACTTCTCCCCATAGCTTTGTGTCATCTGCAAACTTGGACAGAGTACACTTCACTCCCTCGTCCAAGTCACTGATGAAGACATTAAAGAGTATCGGTCCAAGGACCGAACCCTGTGGGACCCCACTTCCCACACCCTTCCAGGTCGAAACCGACCCATCCACCACGGCTCTCTGGGTGTCACTCACACATCCTTGATATAGAAATTATTGTATGAGATTCTTTGGCAGGTGATCAGAATAGAAAATCCTAGAAAGGAACATTAATCTTTCTCTACATTCCTCCTTGTAGGTAGGAAGTAGGGCTCTTCTAAATATTTTATCATTAATTTTGTTTTAGAAATGATTTGAGATCAAGGGACTGGAATTCTCCCATTATGAACACAAACCCTGAAAATCATTCATGTAAGAGTATGTGGTATTGTATGGGTATGGTTACATGGCATGCCCTTAGAATATGTATCCACTGCAGTGGTAGTATGATGTGTTCACCCCCAACTTACAAGTAAGTGGCTATCAAGTCACCTCTCAGTCTTCTCTTACTCGGAATGAACAAACCCAGTTCCTGGAGTCTCTCCTCATAGGGTCCATCCTCCAGGTTCCTGATTTTTATGGGTGGCCCTTCTCTATACCCTTTCAAATTATCCACAACCTTCTTGAAGTCCAGTATCCAGAACTGGGTACAGTACTCCAGCTGTGGCCTCACCAATGCTGAATAGAGGAGGAGCACCCCCTGGATCTGTTGGCAATGCCTCAGCTGATACATGCCAGAGTTCTATTTGCCCTGCTGGCAAGTATTGCAC